TCTCTCTCTCTCTCTCTCTCTCTCTCTCTCTCTCTCTCCTCCAGATCTCAATATCCAGAATACTACTACTACTACTACCTACTGCTGGAGGGGGGTAGAATCAGACCGGACATCCGCACTGCTCCTCCCTTCACTGTGCTCTGATATCCATCCACTATAAAGCTTCACTCCATCTTACGGGAAAAACGGGAGGCAATAGAAGTGGGTAAGCCTCTATCACTAACCATAGTGAAGAGCACCCCCGTTTTTCGGCCCACGTAAGATGAACGGGGAAGACTGGTGGCAACGATAGAAGAACTCAAGACTTCAGACTTCGCGACTACGTGGCTTCAGACTCAACGACAGAGTGCGCGCAAGTATACTCACGCATACTCAGTATACTCAGGTTTACCCAGCCGCAGGCCACAACCTTGGTGTCGTATGCATCCCATATTTCTCTCCAATCACTTTACCACATTTCTCTCCTTATTTTTGCTTCTGCTGTCGTCACTTCGAGGGATGATGGCTTCTCAGGAACCTCCCAATGGAGTAGAGTTAACCCCCGAGGAGAAAAAGAGAATATGGGACACCCTAACCGAATGCTATAACACCGGGATTCTCCCGGAATCCCTAGCCCCTCGCGTGGTAGAAGAGGGACCTGACTTCGTGAGAGTTGTCGTCAGGAAAGAGATATATAGCATTCAAGCGGAATGGTTGAGGGCCCATACAGTCTCTGTCTTCTTTGGGGACGACTCCACTTCTCTCTCCGTCTCGATCAAAAACGACCTTGTGCGCATCTATGAGGATGGGTGGGGCCGTTCGAGTGAGATTAGTGCAGCCCCAAAGAGAGGAGTTTTCAGGAACGAAGGCAAAAATTTGGTAACGTATGTAGCAAGTGCCAGAGAAATCGCCGAGTGGATGATCCGGAAGGGTGCCGGGGACGTCGAACTAGACGGCAAAAAGTACACGATTACATTCAAACCATGAATGACCGAACTTGAATTGAACCAGTGGAGGGAATCCATGAAATTTAAATTTTTCTGGGTTCGTTTTTTACAAGTTCCTATATCGGCTCTTCCACACATGAAAGGGTCGGTGGAAAAAATACTGGGAAAAATCCTCAAAGCATACGATGCCTACGCGGACCCCCTATCACCCAACCTGTGGAATGTCAGATTCGATGTCGAGCCTTCGGCTCGACTTCGATTCAAAAGATGGGTGATAATAGATATGGAAGAAGATGGTTTCGCAGAGTTGGAAATGGTGAGCACGACTACCCCTTGGTGCAAAGCCTGTCGTAAGTATTACCATTCGGACGAAGATCCGAACTGCCCCTCGAAACTGAGGGCTAGCGGAAAGAAGGGCTATACCGCCCAGGAGAAGTCCTATTTTCGGACAAACTGGGAACTGCTTCAGAAACTGGCTACTAATCTGCCTTCCTCATCCAACAGGGATCAGGGGAAAGCAACCTCGATGGGATCCGGCGATGCTATAAGGGAAAAAGAAGAGAAGGGGAGTTCCCTCCCCTCTGCACGCGTCAGCAAGCAAGGATCCCACATCCAAAAGCAAAATAACAAAACCAAAAAAAGGAAAACCTGGAGGAAGAAAGCTAAGAGAGACAACCCCCCTCCGACTCCCACCAACTCAGGAACAGACTCCGCAAGTGGATCCAAACGGTCGGAGGGAAAGGATACTTCCCCCACCACGGAAAAGGACGTGGACAGGGAGAGGGGCGATCCAAATGCAGATGCACAGAAAGGGGAAAAGAGGGAATCCACAGACGAAGCCTCCAAAGCTTCAACCTCAGTCCTTTCTCCCTCGAAATCCGCTCAGAAAGAAGGTCTACCCGGCCTGCCAGCTAACTTCGAAGAGAATGTCAATCAAGCCAAGTTGGGCTTTGATACACAGAAGAAGAAGGAAGGGAAAACCTCCCCTCCCAACGATTCAAAGATCCCTGAACCCTCTGGAACCTCAACAACTCTGGAGGAAGTCTCACCAGAGGACGTTGTAATGCGGGACAGTATCCCGCCCCCTGCACAGGAACCCAAGGAACACTTCTCCTTGCTGACTGGGACCCTTCCAACGGGCATCGAGTTTCAAGCCCAGAAGCCAGTCCCAGTCGATAGCAAAAAGAAGGGCAAGGGTAATCCCCAGCAGAGGAAATCAGCAGAAGGAAAAGAGCAAGTGAGTAAAGAGAGAGAGGAGGGGAGCAGCGGCAGCCTAGTCAGAAAGAAGCTCAGAATTGACCTCAACAGGAGTGAATCCCGTCTGGTGGTGGAGATTCAGGACCCGGGTCTGACGTACTCCCCACCCCTCTCCTCAGAGACTCCCCCATTCAGGAAAAGAAGCCATGGACTTCAAGCAACGAAGCCCACCCTGAGTCTGGCAGCTCCTCTGGTGACGCTGTCCAGAAAAGACAGGATAAATGCAAATGTTAAGGAAACGCTAATCCCCTTAATCTGTATCAGTTCCCCTCAGGGTCCCTGACTCCTCATTCTTAGGAAGGAGGAGGCGGTGGAACTGCCTTACTATTTCCTCACCAGCCCACCTGCTGAAGAACTGGTGACGCAAGGTATAAACTAGGGCCTCATGAAGGGGTTGGGTTCGTGCTTCATTCTGCCTCTCCCCCAGCCAGGTCGCCACACGGTGGCTCACCAAGATGGTAGTAAGACCCTCCTTCACATCTGGTTCCTGGGCCTCTCGGCATTCATTGGCACAAAGCAGCAGTGGGACGACCTCAAGCTCCAATGGATCCCCCTGCAAACCTTCATATCCCCAGGTCCAGGCGGACTCCAGACTCCAGACTCCAGACTCACTGTTGGACATCCGCGCAGGAAACGAAACCACAGCCCAGGATGTGGCGGACTGGTTCTTGCGCGCAGACCTCCTAAGTATCCTGAACTCCCCCAACTTCACTTCACAACTCCAGGCCCCCTCAGGCTGTGTAACAGGGCAGGACAGCGGCATCCAAGCTAACGGCGGCTCGATCCAGGGTGATGGTCCTA